TACACATACATATACACACATACTTACACACACACAGACTGCCTGACATAAATGCTGCTGGGTGAGATGGAAGACAAGCAGTGAGACACAGTGGCCATGTTGACTCAGCCCAGGCAATAAACAGACTGATATACACACACACACACAGTCATGCTCCTACTGGCAATGGGCTGTGATATTTTCAGCCAAATTTGCACTCCCAGTCCCTAAACAAAAATAATCTTCCTGAAGCAATGTCTTTACCAAAATATCACCAGAATACCAATGTACAGAATGAGAATGCTGCAAAAGCTGCTTTCCTAATTCAAATGGTACAATAAACCACAAGAAGCAGCTCAGTAAAGAATTCACACAATATAATCCAGCCTTCCACTAGCTATATATCAACCATTTCAAACAGAGGCCACTTGATAATAAATTGCACAAGCACTGAGCCGGTTCTTATCTGTCAGGTGCGGCAGCGGCAATAGGGGCTGAGGTAGAGGAAAGGATAGCTGGAAGATACGTGGAGCCCTGATGCTGCTGACCCACCCTGCCTGGACCATCTCCAGGGGTGTCAGCCTCTCCATCAGCAATCAGACCATGGGCTCTCAAAGCCACAGCGGCCCAGTGCCCGATCCACACTGACGTGGGCATCCATGCGGACTCTCCTCTAAATGGGCTTTGTGTGCATTTGAGTGTCTCTATCCAGGAATCTAAGTGGAGGGAAATATCTAAAATGTATAACTTTTGCCAACTTTATGAGCTGCTTGATGTGGCAGGCAAACAAATCATAGAAGGACCCTTTCATAAGGGGTTTTGATTTCTTAAATCAAAGTTATAATTACTGCTGAAATGATTATCAATTGACAGAAGGGTATTCAAAAACATTTTGGCAGCTATTTATCACGAAAAAATCTTTAAAATTTGCTGCTTCCAGCTTGTCAAATGTGACAAAAAAAATATTTTCTCTATTTAGTATCATGCCAATGAGTCCCAAAACTAAAAATAAGACCGATGGAGAGTACCAGCAACAGGTGTAACTAACTTTCAACATGTAATGCAAGTTGTATATTAAAGGTCCAGGGTGTAACATT